TGAGGGCTTTTGGCTCCACGCTAATGTGCTGTGCGTACAGTTCTCAAATGCCGGCAGTGGGAGGGTCCGCCGACTCTCCTTCGTGGGGAAGGGGAAAGCGCAAGGAAGGACAAATAAAGAACTAAGCTAGGGACCGCATGACTTTTTATACCATACAATAGAGCAGCACCGCAGCCTTTGTCGGTTGTGAAAAATCTCTCTTTGGAGTTGGCGTCGTACGGCGAATCCCCTATAACGAAGGCAAACTATAGCTCAATTCGAGTAAAGGTTTGTTGTCGTTTTTCTTTAAATGGAGTCATTTCTTACTCAATGTTTTGTTATGACAAGTTAGTTCATGTTACTGTAGACGGTTAAGGAGAGTTAAAAAAGTGGAGTTACTTATTTTTTTTTTATATTTACGTGCAAATTTGCCACATTTAGAGAAATGAGCTACGTTTTTTGCATTAATCACAAAACTACAATAATGGTTAAGCATAATTGTTTTCATATATTCATAAAATGTATTTAAAGATTATAATTTTGATATATTTTACGTAGTTTAACATAAGGTAGTTTGTTGGTAAATAATTTGTGAATGTGTCTGTAAAACGTGCTTATTTGACGTGTTTCGTAATTTGTTTTACGTAGACATCTTTTGTAATATTTTATAATATTGTGCGTACATGCCGTAAACGTTTCATAACATAAGTAGAACAAATTATTACTACTTGTTTGTTTCGGTGTGAAAGTGACGACTGTGCAAATACCATAGGCGAAACTTTGGCCATCTCCACGCCTCGAGCTTCCAAATTTTATACATCTCTCTCCGGAAGAAAAGTAGCTACGGCGTTCGCATATAGCTGAATGCTCCTCCCAAGAACATTGTCTTAACGTATATATTGGTTTGACATAAACATGAAATATGTTACCTGGACCTGTTTGTTTCGGTGTGAAAGTGACGACTGTGCAAAATACCATAGGCGAAACTTTGGCCATCTCCACGCCTCGAGCTTCCAAATTTTATATATCTTTCTCCGGAAGAAAATTAGCTACGGCGTTCGCATATAGCTGAATGCTCCTCCCAAGAACATTGTCTTGACGTATATATTGATTTGACATAAACATGAAATATCTGACCTGGACCATCAGTGCACGACCTGACGTGGAAATACCCACCGGTGAATGCGTAGCGTAAGTTCGTCTGCTTCATTTGCAGGGGCTGTGGTGACGTCTGCACGCCGAGCTCTGATTGGTTCTAAATGAAGGATAGTGGGTAGACTTCTAGGCAGCTTGCTTTGAGGTCTACCCACTATCCTACAACCAGAGCCAATCAAATCTCGGCGTCTTTGTGATGTCACCGCAACTCCTGAGCTTGAAGCAGACGACTTGCTCTCCGCGTAGGAAACGCTCTGCCTTCGCCGGTAACGCCCTTCATTGAATCAACTGATAAGCCATGAAGTAACTTAAGGAAAGTATTTGAAAATCGTATAACCTTGGACGTGCTGCAGCTGCAAATCGCAGTACCTTCCACCGTAGAAATGTATCAGGAATGCTCTCGTCATTCCACCGTAACTCCAGGAATAAATAAAACGAGCGTTGTCTGCTTCATCTCGTGTTTTATTTGTGTAAATGCATTCATGATACTAACGGTTCTTTTCGATTACGCTTTTTGTCAGCTACGAGACGGTCGCTGAGAAAATGTAACTTTCTTTTGTAAGCTGCTGAAATACCAGCAATTCAAGCGATATTTTAATTTTATAAAGTATAGCCACCATGATTCCATAATTGAACATTAGTCAGAATCCTTCAGAAGTCTTTAACAACATGTGACAATGTTCATAATGTATGTATGACGATGTATGATGATGCTGTATACCCATCGCTTATATTCAAAGATTACCCCGCAACAACATGCAACCTTTTAGAAAAACAAATAATGCTTCAAAGTTATGTATCCTTCATTAGAGCTGTCCTAACGCGTCTCATTACCGGTATACTTTTTTTTTTCTCCGTGGAGAAAACAGTGATAACATCACGTGGCTCTACGAGATCACTCATGTCCGCTATCCCTCGCTGCGTCCTTTCAAGAGGGGCCAGATCGCCTAAACGAAATCACGTCGTGAGGGCACGATCGCGCAGTAAGACGAGGACCTCCTCCGATAGAACGCCGCCGCAGCGCGAGCCAACCTCAGGCCAAATACTCGGCGCACTTGTCTCCGAAAAGGCAACTCACGAAAAACCTCGCACGTAATGGATGCACGCCCGTCTCGCTCCCGACTCGCACCGATCGCGCTGTCGCGACTCCATTTATCACGAAGAGGCCACGGAGCCAGCTCGAGCCGGCCAACTTTCCGTTAGACGCTCCGGGGTCGGGCCCACAGCCAAATTGATCGAGTCCGATCGCTTTGTCGAGCGCGTTCACGCAGTCGGCGGAGTCGAGGAGCCGTTGTTCCCCAAGGCCCCCGCTGAAGATCGGTCAGGCGTCCGCGGCGACCACTACACACCCCTTGCGTTTCCTCGTTGAAGGAGCACCAGCCGCCACTGCATATCTACATATAATTGAGAACTGCGGCGCGGCAACCGGTCCAGTATCCACGCTCTCCTGGGAATCACGACGCACCGCGTGGAGGAGAAAAAAACGTGAGCGGACTTCGAGACTCGCGTTATAGGCTTGCAGTCGAAACTGTCTGCTTAGCCGCGACTCGGCGCTTGCTGCGTGCTTACCCGCGCTTATGGGGGTTATCTCGAAAACTGTTGGGGGCCAAGTCGCGCCTCGGCCAACCGATTATGCCGAGTTGCTTTCTGTGCTGCCCTAACCGTGTAATGACGGTCGGTAGTTGGCTGGTCGGCAATGCGCGGGGACCTGGCTTGCGTTGGCGCGAGTGAGTGGTGGCGGTGATCCGCGTGCTGACCCGAAAACAGCCATGCGAAGATTAGGAAAATCAAGTCCCCGTTTTGTACCGTAATCGGTGTCGATAGGAATTGAGACGGTCGGGTGTTGATAATTGCGGCGTGGTATATCCGCGTGGAGCACTATTAGATGCGCCATATAAATCACGATCAGCCGACAAACACCCGTTACATTCTATCTTTACCTTCGGCTGCTTCGTTGTACCGGTCTTCTTCTTTTTTTTCTGCGTCGAATTGAAACCGCGGTAGTTGGAGCCAGTTAGGCCTTAATATTTGGACAGAATAGCAAACCTGAATCTGCAAAGGGCAGCAGGAGAGTGGGAAACGATGCTTGTACGGCGGCAGCCGTATATATTTATAGCGGTAAATTTTAATCGGTGAATAATGGCCATCTGACCATGTGACCATTGTTCACGTGGCACTGTGACATCACGAGACACGTCACGTGACACCAGGGTATCGCAACCATGGCATCGTGACACCATGGCATGGAATCACGTGGCACCATGGCAATCCGTAGATAGTTTCCTCCGTCCTGCAACGCTTTCAGCGACCTCATACGAAATCCCGAACTTTGCGGACAAATCTAGCGGTGCGCATGCGCAGTTGCCGAGTCTTCCTTAAGGAGAACGTTGCGGAGGCCGAAACCGGTCTGCGAGAAGTCCATAATGCCTAAATTAGCGGAGAAATCCTTTCCACTATATAACCTCATTTTACTTTTGCGCGCATAATGTGTGTTGTTCAGTACCTTCCCCAGACTTAAAAAAATAACAAAAAAAGCAGTAGGAATTGTGTGGATTGTGCGGTGAGCTTTAGTGGATGTTTGTTTTTTATGTGTTTGTTGGATGTCGTAGAAAACCTTCAAAAACCATTTAAACAAGAAGTGGTCCAAGTGTTTCAAACTGAACGGTATGCGTGTTACTTGAAGGCATGTGCAAAAGTATGATGCGTCGGAAAGCACTATGGCTATCACCGCCGCTTTATTATACTCTGTCTCACCAAAACTGTGCAGTACAGTGGAAACCACGGGGTCTCAACAGGCTCACGCAGTTCGCACCAGAACATAGGGCCAAGTTGTAGTCGGGTTTCCTCTCGATATTGTTCAGTTTCTGACAATTTAGACGCGCAAAAACATTTTAAAATAATTTCAAATGGTCATAAATTATGTCTTTTTTTAATCGAACAACGTGTTAATTGTCTCATTATTGTCTTTCGTTGAAGAACATACTTCTACTGCTCAGCGGCAAATTTTCCGCCGACGTTCCGATTTGCGCAAGCCGTTCAGCGCGAGTTCAAAGGATGTGTCGCCAAAACACAAAATAATAATTATTAAAGTGGATATACCCCAAGATAGAGATCCGTCGACGGACTGTTCTTGGGGCGCCGAGTAGGACGAATTTAGGTGTATACCTTACCGCCATGGCCGCCATGACTGACATTGGCTCTTTCCCGCCCCGCTATCGCGGAAAAACATCTCTTTATCCCACGCGAGCCAAGCAGATAGCTTTAAACGTGCTCGGTAAGCTAAAGAAAGAAAGCTTGAATAGTGCTAGCACTAATTCCATCTTCGGAAGGGCGTCAGCACTGAGCGGTGTCAGCAAGCGAGCTCTTTACAAGTGGACGACGACTATCTACCCAGGGTGCCCATAGCAACCCTCCATTGGATGCGCAAGGAATTGGGCTATAGATTTACGCGCCGCTTTCGCAACTGCCATCTGATCGAGACAGCGAACATTGTGCTGTGGCGGTGCCAATACCTGCGACAGGTACAGGCATTCAGAAGGCAGTGACAGCCTATTTTCTAGACTGACGAGAGGTGGGTGAACGCAGGGTACACCCACTTGAGAGTCTGGCCCGACGTGACCGTGATAAGTGCGCGTGAGGCCTAGCCCTCCGGACTCTCCACCGGGTTAAAAAAAAACAGCGGCAAAGGCGGGAGGTTGATCGTCAGTCATGTTGGCAATGAGAACAGGTTTCTTGACGGTGCGGGGTAAGTTTTCCTCGCAATAAAGGCAAGTGATGACTACCATGAAGATATAGACGGAAAGCATTACGGAAAGTGGTTTGTCGACACATTGCTCCCCCTCCTACCCTCAGCGAGTGGGGTAGTGATGGATAATGCTCCATATCATTCGGTGAAGCTGGAGAAAGAGTCGAAGATGTCAACTCTCACGAAACACATTCAGACGTGGCTGCCAACAAAAGGTGAGACCTGGAGCCCGGACATGATCGAGGCAAAGCTGTTGAAGATTGTGCCCATGACCAAGCACGACGGAGAAAAGTACCGCATTGACACGATTGCTGCTGCCGCCGGCCGCACTGTCGTAAGGCTCCCACCTTACCATTGCCAGTTGAGCCCGATCGAGTTGGCAAGGGGCGACATGAAGGTTTATGTTGGGTCCCTTAACAAGAAGTTCAAGATGGCCCAACAAGGACCTCTCGTTTATGAAGCTATTAATCACGTAACTATAGAAAAACGGACCAATTTCGTGCGGCACGTGGTTGATGAGGAAGCGGCACTGAGGAAGGTTGACTACATCATGGACTAAGTTTTCGATGGGCAGGAGCCTGTTGTGATCGCTATGATGTATCTTCCTCGGAATGGGACACTGATAGCTCTTACGTTGACCTGGGCTGTTGGCCACTGTGACGGGGTCTAATTCTCAGTGTATTTACTGACCTTCAAACGAGTCAAGAAAGTATAAAGTTTTGTTTTTAATGGAGCCAAATGCAGATATCAGGGCTAAACCAAGTTTTGCTGAAACCGCTTAACGTATGTGGACATGTGTTCTTCCCGAAAGCTATCAAACTAAAATTGTTCCTTTTATGCGAGAAAAAGTACTGTGAAAGTGATCACCTTACAGGACTCAAAGCTAATTTAATAAAAAAAATCGCCTGCAAAGGACAAGGTGCCAGCAGATTACGTTGAAATAGCTTTATTTTTGTCCAAATACTATTGTTGGCTCTTAGAAACGTGTATATTTACACAATTATTTTCCTATCTTATCACTGGCACAGAAACACTACTGTGGACTGAGGCCTCCTTCTACATGTTGCCAGGTACAATAAAGCATGCTGCATTGTGCGATTTCAAAGAAAATGCAAAACTTCTCAGGAAAGATGACGACAGGATATTTTGGAACTGCGCGTGCTCAGCTCATGTTGCTTATCGTGTTGAGCTTCCGTGCACAGATGAAGTATCATGTTTCTAAGTGAAATTTTCTACTAAATTGCCTACACAATGTTTACGGATTTACGAGGTCCTTTTCTTTCAGTGCTAGTTACCATCTACATCAGACGGAAAGTCCTGACAGTTCTACGTGCCTAACAATCATGCCTATATAGCCTAACAGCTATGAAACGATTTTTCTACTTTGGTAAATACTACTTAGAATCACTCCCTAACGTTAATAACTAAATAAAACTAGCTTAGGATTTATTTCTAAACGAAATCAGTGGCTAAAAAAAATTCGAGAAGTAAAAGCATTGTTTATCTCCTTAACTCGGAGCCAGAACAAGAGGAAACCATGGCCTGGTGCCTACCCTATGCCACCAGTGTTAATCCCACCCACGCGCTGCGGTTGGCAACGTAGAAAACGTGTGCTGAGCTCCAGGCATTGTTAGAGTTCGGCTACTCCCATCCTCGCAGTGGTTGGTCACGAGCCACTACACGAACGTCCGCCGAGGCATGGATTGTTACGGGCCGAAATCGAGTGCTCACGCAGTTCTCATGTCCAATCCATGAGCCGCGCTCGACTGTCGTCAGATGGGTGGTTTTGATCCCCCAATTATCACGCTGCAGAACCAGGTACAGTGAACTAGAATATAGGGGCAGTGGAAAAAGCGTCGGCGGCGGTCCTATTGGCCGTGTGAAGCAAGAAGTGTAGACTGTTGCGACTGGCGCTGTTATTGAAATCCGGAGGGCATGGCTACTGTAACATGGGATATGGATGGCGTCGCGTACGTTCTCAGATGGTTTCTGTGGTGTGTATGGTCGTTTTCGCAATTTGGTTTCGTGAATTTGAAGTGCTTGGCATTGTGGTTACATAGGTTTGAGTCTTCTCGCCAAGCAATGAATACGAAGGGAAAGAAGACGGATGCGCTCTGCTACGCGCCAGTATGCAAGACTGACTACCCCGGTTTTCACTACATTCCCCAAGTAAGCTTTAAACATTAATTCATGGACGTTGAAACAACTTTAAAGCATACATAGGCCACACTAATGAACAGCTAAGATCAGACACAGCTACGCTTGGCGCGAACTTGGCTGGCAGGAGTGCTCCGGAATCGAACACCAGCGCTACCTGGTAGGTTCTACACGAAGCGCCTCACCTGGAGGCCGGCTATTTTTCCACTACTCCTATTCTAGTTCACTGTAACCCAGGATCCTGGGTTCACCCCTGGCCACTTTTACCCTTTTCTATTTGGATGAGCATCGTACAGGCGTGCGGTCGTGTATCACTACTCCGCAGTGCACGTTAAAGACCCCAGGCGAGCGGTTAAACTGAACTCGCTAAGTTGCTCATCTACAGCTGAGAGACAAGTTGCTTGTTGAAGCCAGACTAACTTGAAGGCTGTAGAAACATATCCACAAGTTTTTCACTTTTACGTCATCAGGTTTAGCAAATGTAAGACTTACCGCCGAATTCAGAAACCTCACTCAAACTACACTCAAACTGAAGGGCCCCTCCACTTCCTCGAGGAAGGCGCGAGGGCCGGCGCTGGCCAATCGCGACGGCGGATCCGTCCTCGCGATTGGCCAGCGCCGGCCCTCGCGCCTTCCTAGAGGAAGTAAAGGGGCCCTTCAGTTTGAGTGTAGTTTGAGTGAGGTTTCTGAATTCGGCGGTTAAATAAATCCTCCCCTCTTGTCCTCGCAATTTCACCGTGACGAAGAAGCTTCTGAACTAGTGGCGGTCTGTGCTAGTATAGACCATTTTCGAAAATGTGTCCACTGTTGAAAGCTTTGGAATCCCTGTACAATAGCGGACACAAAAGACACGGCCATTATTGGAACCTTAGAAGCTCTAGTAAGGACACTCCATTGCCAACTTATCTGGTTTTAGAATCTCATATTCTGTAGTGTCGCTTGTTTTGCCATTGTGCAGTGTTTCAGAGTTTTTAACAATCAGCACATGACTTTCAAAAGGGGTGTCTAGGGAGTATTCAATGGCAGCCATAGCCGTGTGAGCGACTCCTGAGCGCGTGCTGACGGCGAGCTTCCACAGTTCTTTCGCCACATGCATTCCGCTTCATCAAGATTGCCGATCTTAGCAGCCTATTATTGTGAGCTCGTTCTGAGTATGCGCTCGAAACATCGCCCTTAAATATGGCATCCAGTGAATACCCTCTATAACTAGGGCTAGTTTGCCTCTGCAAAGTCGTCAACATTCCAACCCGATATTGCTTCATGACCCCGTCATTTGCAGTTACGCGTAACCACAGTCACAACACTATATTCTGCGACAACGGTTTCTGGCCATAAAGTCAAAACTATGGGCGCACGTGCGCTTGCGCATCTTGACCGCCCATCAAAGCTGTTCACGCGCACTCTTCGCTTCTTCTGAAATAGCTGTCTGATAGTGTGTTAAGGTAACTGTGGTGAAGCGTAACTGGTGGTAAGGGTGACTGAACTGATGTCAAGGGTAGTCCTGTAACATGGGTGCAAATCTGCCTATTTGCAAGACACAGCAATGAGCCCATTAATTATTTTACAAATGTGTTCAGTGCTGTTTGCAAACAAAAAGATGAGATTTCAGCCCACTCACGAGCGGCGCCATGGACCGTTGTCTCAGCGAGACGTTCAAGATAACGACTCCATGTGGTACACTCACTGCGATTGATCTCGGTACCGCCTGACACTCTCGCGAAATTGAAGCGTGTTTGGTGGCACGGTCACGAGCCAGGCGCCTTGCTGACCGACGACCAGGGCGAGCCGTGTTGGCGGTTCAAGAAACGCCGACATCCATCACCGATGCGCGTACCTAGGTCACTGGCGATGACCGACCCGATCGCTCTCGACGGCGTCCGTTCAGCGCGCCGATGTAGACTTTCGCGCCTAGGCCGTTCCGGCGGGGTGGTCGACAAGCTTGTTGGTCCTCGGTGGCCTTTGTAAGGCGACTGGTTCGCCTCTACCATCAAGGAATTTCTCAGGACAAAATGCTTTCACTGGAAAAAGTAAATAAAGTGATTGGTTGATTGAATTATGAAGACCACAGGTGGTTTCTTCGGGGCGGGATAGGCGGTTAAGTCAGCCGTCGTCCTATTTTCTCGATTGCGCGATGAGGGATAACTTACGGCAGTGGCATCGTCAACGAAAGGTCTACGCCAAATTTTGACTTGTTCTTCAGGTACTTAGTGAACAGGTTATTTTGTCAACGTAATGTCGGCGTAACTCTGAAGGACCCAGTGGAATTGAGATGGCAAATAAATCTTTTTTCCAAGGACTGTCAATGGGCTGGAAACCCATGTGGTTACTAAGCTACACGCGTGTATAGTCCCAGAGGTTATTTATTAATCCTAGAGAAGTAGGTAATCCGTGTAATAAAACAAAATTATTTTCTCGCGAGGGGGGAGAGGAAGGGAGGGAAGGGATAGTTCACATTCAATCAAGTAAATTTACTGACCATGACCTTCTATCGATAAGAAAACAGCCCATATTGTGTTATCGCAAAGTCGGCTTTTCTCAGCGGGCCACGAGCTCCGCCCATCGGCCCAAGTCTCTAAGTATAAAACTGCACCCTCATAGGCACCATAAAAAATACATAATCAGAAGGCTTTGAACATACACCTTATTTTGTACTTTTCGATTACTCCATTTGACCACTCGGTGTCTTTTTTTGTAAACAAGTTATAGTAGAATCAATATATATGTTCCTATACACATCGTACATGTTGATTCGTTACTCTTCAGTTTGTGTTGCACCGGTGTTTCTTATTTACTGCAATAGCAGTTAGTGGGACACTTCGCGGGTTTCGCGACGTCGACCGCGCTCCATATCGACGCCGGCCATTTGCGGCACTCCGCCAAAAGATTTGCCATTGACGTCACGCCGCTGGCGTCACTTCGCTCGACACGATTCTAACGTCACGTTGTGCATCACGTCACCTGTTACCTGGCGTCAGCAGACACCATGAAGTGACATTGCCATGTCAAGTCACGTTGCACAGTGACGTAACGTGACTTTATGACGTCAGGTGACACGGTCAGTCACGTGATGTCATGACTGCACGTGACAATACGTCGTCACGGGACGCCATGACGGAACGAAGAAACATTAGCATGACACTTCTGATAATGAAAGGAAGAAAAACAAGGCGTTTTCGCTAATTATGGCAAAAATAAAATCTCGCGCAATAAAACGGATAAATCTAGGAGCGTGTTAAGTCGGCAAAACCGCGGGCGTGAACACGCTTCAAACTTAAGTGCGCGATTGTGAAAGTGTTCTTCAGTGACCACAAAGCGGTGTTAGTATGTATCCAATTGCATAAGACGTTCAGGCACCCACGAAAGGGAACGGTTCATGCATGCTCATGCAGTATTGTCGTTTTC